AAGTGATAGAAGCAGTGTTTTAAGTGCTTTACATTAATTTAATATCTCTAAAATCCTTGGGTTCCTGGAGTTCTGCCTCATCCAGCTCATTAGCTGTGGAATCTTGAGCAGTGTATTTGACATCTCTAAACCCCAGTTTCTTCATCTGTAAACTCACTCATTCATGGCCATCGAATCAATTCCAAGTCCTGGTGATCCTACAGGACAGAGTTGAACTACTTCATAGAGGTTCACAGACTGTAAATCATTATGGGAGCAGAGGGCCTCATATTTCTCCTGTTGTTAGAAACCCAATGTCTAACCCATGGTGCCACTGTGCCCTGTCATCTCTAAAAGGGGATGCTAACATCCCTTTGACAAAAAGGAGCTAATGAAGGAGCCCTGATGGTTCAGTGGTTAAGCGCTTGGCTCCAGCTCACCAGCTGCTCCTTGAGAGACGGATGTGACAGTCTGCTTCCGTAAAGATTTCCAACCTTGGAAATCTTCTGGAGCATTACTCCTGTGTCCTACAGGGTTGCAGTGAGTCGGAATTGACTCAAGAGCACTGAGATTCTGGGGTAAATGGTGGTGGTGGTGTGCCGTGGAGTCGGTTCTTACTCATAGCGACCCTCTATAGGGTTTCCAAGGCTGTAAATTTTTACAGGAGCAGAAAACCTCATCATTCTCCCGCAGAACAGCTGGTAGTTTCGAACTGCTGACCTTGAGTCAGCAGCCTAACTCATAACCACTATGCTACGAGAGCTCCTTTGGGTGAATGCGATCTTGTGTATCAAATGCCTAATGCAATGCCTGGAACATGTGAAAATGATTTTAAAAGGTGATACCAAAAAGGGGGCAAAGTGAAGAGATAATATACATGGGACATGGTTACTTCCACATTTTCCTTTCTCTGTACCTTTGATGACTCTATAGGATAAGCACTGGACTGTGAACCACAAGGTTGGTTGTTCAAGCCCACGAGTCGCTCTATGGGAGAAAGATGAGACTTTCTGCTCTAGTAAAGATTTAAAGTCGTGGAAATCGTAGCTATACAGGATCGCTGTGAGTCAGAACTGACTCCACGGCACAAGAAGAAGCACATTTTATAACAGACGTGTTCATGCTAATTCACTGCTCCGAGCCATTAAATGGCTCTCTGTGAGTTCCCAACTCTCCAGAATCTTTTTGTCATCCACACACACACAAAAAAAGCACTTTCCAAGTTCACTACAAAATGAGAACCTGGGCAACTCTGCGCAGATTGTGAGGACAATGCTGTGTGCATTGTAGGCAGCAGGTCATTAGATGGTTGAACAATGCGGGGAAGAACAATTTACAAAATGGTTATATTGACAAATATATCTTGATGTCTCATGTTTTAGATTAGAAGTAATTCCAGGTGGATCAAAACAATATAGAGAAGGATGTAGTCAGCTGAAAACAATAGGGGCAAAACCTTAGAAGAAACTATTAAAGACTGGACTATATAAAACGAAAAGCTTTCACATGTCAACTATAATACAAGTTATAACAAACACATACACACACACACAAAGGACAAGCTTAGACAAATATTTATCATCAATATGAAAGAGAAAAAGAATATCTTTAGTATGTAAAGAGTACATACAAAATAATAAGAAAAATACAAAAGCTCTCAATGGGAAAATGGCATTAAGGAAGAAATCACAAAAGAGAACATGTGAATGGCTAATAAACATATGAATAAATGTTCACCTGCACAAGTAATCAAAAATGCTAATGGAAACAACAAGAGAGCAATTTTCACCTATTAATTAGCAAACATGAAAAAAGACAATACCCTGTTAGCCAGGGCTCCGTAAGAAGGGCATTCATACACTGATAATGGGAGAGTAATCTGAGTCGTCTTTCTGGAAAGCAATTTGGTAAAATGTTTCAGGAGCTAAAATATAGTCCTACCCTTTGACCCATAGTTCCACTGCCGATGATAATCACTCCCTATGAAGTAACCCAAAGTCTGGACCAAATTTATGCAAAGAGATGCCCCTTCATAATCATCCAAATTGTCAATCAGCTTCAATACCTTAGGTCATAAATTACGGTGTAATCATAAAATAGAATATTATGCAGCTATTAAAAATTCTTTTCATAATGACTATTAAATGGCATGGAAAACAAAAGTTATATTCAGAGATATAAAGATGATATAAAACTCTTTATGTATGTTCTCACATGTGGCAAAAGATACAGATGCAAAAAGACAACTGTGAAGAAGTCCTTGTCTCAAAGAAGTTTATTATTGTACCCAGGGAAATTTCTCTGTATATTACAAATAATATGTTCTTCTTCTTATTATTGAAAATAAGGTAAACTAGATGAAGAAAAATGTTGCAGACTAAAAACGGGCCTTGTTATCAGAATCTGAAAGTCCTTAGGTGATGCACATGGTTTGCTCTTGACTATGAATCTAAAGGTTGACGTTTAAAACCCAGCCTGTGACCCAGGAGTCCTGGTGTGACGCAGTGGGTTAATGCACTGGACCGTAAGGTCACTGTGAGTCGGAGCTGGCTCGACGGCACTAAACAACGACAACAGGTGATGCCATGGAAGAAAGGTCTGGACATCTGCTTCGTAAAGATTGTTGTTGTGAAGTGCCGTCGAATCAGTTCCGACTCATGGCGACCCTGCAGTTGGTGAGTTTGAACCAATCTTGTAGTTCAAACCAACCTTGCAGTCCAGTGTTTTATCCCGCAGCACCACACCAGGACTCCCTAAAGATAAAACTGCCAAGAAAATCCTATAAAGCAGTTCTACTCTACAACACATGGGGTCGCCAAGAGCCAGAATCACCTCCAAGGCAAAGGGGTGTTGGTTGGTTTTGTTTGTTTTTAAAAATTAGCTCAGTTGTTAACCACGATCAGTGTGTTTGATGTCCAGCAGATGGCGCTACATCCCTAAACATTTGCAATCTGAGTCTAGCAAAACTATTGCCAGGGTGGTTTCAGTTGTTTTGTTTGAAGGAAATCCCTTCTGTTCTCCTGAAGGTCCTGTAAAGCATATGTTCTTTAAAAAAAAAAAAAAAAAAAAAGGATTACGTTTAAAATTTGTTTTGAGATTTTCATAAAAAACCCCTCTGAGATAATTGAGGATACCCTGGGGAGTCACAAAAAGCCAGAGCCCATGTAATGGATTTGGGGTACTAGTGAATTTGAGAGATTAACCGATTGTGTGGGGCCACACAGGGAGCCCAGGAAAAGTCAGGAACAACAATCAAAGGTAGGGCAGGAAACTGTAGTTTGCCGAGGTTCAGCACAGTTCAGCATCCTTTGAGAATTGATGTTTCCTTGTCCCTCCCTACATATTTAGGGTGGTCATTAAAAATAGGCTTTGGAGTTAAAAAGACCTAAATTTCAAGCTTAATTCCACAACTTCCTGCTGTGTGACTTTGAAAAGGTCACTTCACTTCTCTGTGCCTTTTTCTCCTCTTTTGTCAAATGGGGATAGTAGTGAAATGGACTCGCTGAGGTGTGAGAATGAATACAGGTGAGAGAGTAGTTAACTAGGCAGAGGGCCGTCAAGTCAATTCCAATCACAGGGACCCTGTAGGACAGAGGACAACTGCTCCAGGGTGGCAAATCGTAAAGCAAACAGATTGAAGCAGCTGGTGGGTTTGAACTGCTGGCCTTTTGCTTAGCAGTTGAGCATTTTTAACCCCTGCACCCCTCGGACGCCTTGGCACATGATAAACGTGAAGTAAGTATTAACCGTGATTGTCATTCATTCACTGTTACACATTATTGAGAGCAGCAGTGGGCTCCGCACTGGCGAGAGCCATCAGACCAGCCCTGCCTTCTAGGAGTCCATAGGGGAACGTGTACACATTAAAGAGAGCTCAAAACTTGGAGTTTGGGGGTCTCATGTTGCCTCTGATTTCTTTTGAGACCTCAGATTTCTTTCTTCAGGGTAAACCAAGGGTTTTGGATCAGATGACCTCTACAATATGTTCCAGCCCTGCAACATTTTATGGCTGTATTTCAAAGAACATTACTGAATGGGATCAAATCAAAGTTATTATCTTTCAAATATATTCACATTATGCAATCTTGTCTCCAGAGGTGTAAACTTCTTGTAATTAGGTAAAGGTCCAAGGGTAAACAGAACGATTGCAGCAGAGACTGAGATAAGACGCCAGTCTTGGGGAGGTTGCAGTAGAGAATCCATCTTCAAAATTATACTGGAATAGCGCTGTACCCCACAAATGTGTATTTTTGGTTAGCCTAACTCCCCAAAGAATCAAAATGGGTAAATTTTCATTTTACAAACTTCCTGGAGCAGTCTAATGTCTTTGCTCTTTTCAAAAGACATGACAATGGTATTGCATTATTACAATGTGGTTATGTGTGCATGTGCAAGAATGTAACACATCTGTCCCATGAAACAATTCACCAACAGTATCCACTTAGCTTCTACTTTGTTATTGTTGTTAAGTGCCAACGAGTTGGTTCCGACTTATATCCACCTTGTATAGGTTTTCACAGGAGACACTGGTGGATTTGAACCACCAACTTTGGGGTTAGCAATCCATTGTTATCCTACAACGCCACACCAAGTATTTTATTAGTCAGCAAATAATTCATAAGCAACAATTATGTGCCTGACCCTGCACACAGCAAATAACCAACCCCACAGAGATGTGGTGTTATCTTCGTGCATTTCTGTTTTATGTTGTGAGGAGCACAGGATGATGTGGGAGCACAGAGGATGGCACCCGAACCAGACACAGAGGTCAGGGGAGAGGAAGTAGCTCCCAGAACTTGGTCCTAGGTAGGAAAGATAGATGGAGCCCTATATTAGGGTCGATTAGCACAGCAGGGACCCTAATCTCTTTAGTAAATGGATTTTGAGCTCTGCTTACACCTCTGCTAACATTGATCCTGCCCAATCCAGCTCCCAGCTTCAGTCCTACTTCCTGGGCTCCGTTCCCCAGAAACACTATCCCAACAGCCCCCTGACTGCATCCCCAAGTGTAGAACACCAACCTTGGCCTATCCCTGCTAGTCCTTCTCTTTCGGACAAGGCATTTTTGCTAAAGCGACGGCCATTGAGGGTCCAATTGGCAAAAGCAGTGACCATCACTGTCATCGGCCAGCAATTCTGAATTGGATATCAGTAAAAGTCGTCTGAACCACAAAAGGTTGGTGGTTCAAGCTCACCAGCTGCTCCTTGGAAACCCTATACAGGGTCGCTATGGGTCGGAATCGACTCCACGGCACTTCACAACAACAACAACAATTGCCGTCTTCAGATATGAAGCATGAGACTTTCTCGGCGTGCTGGGATTGGTGGAGGAAGAGGCAGAGGAGCACAACCAGGCTTACCTGGTTACATTCCACTGAGAACTTTGAATTCTGAGTCCCCCAAGAAAAATCTTCGGAAAAGGTCACCTTACTCTTCATTAACTACAAAATGAATGAAGGGGTCTCCTCTTTTTGTGCCTCTCCTCGTGCAGGGGCTTCTTGGGAGGTACGTTAGCCGATTCATATGCAAATGCCCACAGCCCTCAATCTTTTCTCAGAGGCGCTATACTCGGAGGGGGAAGCCTGCATATTTCAAAGGCGCAGCATATGCTCTTGAAGGTAGGAGTGCGAGGTAACCGACACGGAAAAGGAAACACAGCACGTTCCTCTTTGCCCCTTTGCTGAGAGAGTTTTTCTGCATCCAGACTGCATCTGATCATTTACCATCATAATCAGTAGTTTTTACTGAGAGGCTCGGGTCTTCTAAACGTCATTCTTTTTCATGTAAATGAAAAGAAAAGAAGAAATGTAATTAAGAAGAAACGAAGAGAAAATTTCGATTCCGAAAAAGCGCTAGAAGTTGTCTTCCCTAAAGCAGGCTTAAATGTTCTTCTGAAAATGTATTCTCCTTAGAAATAAATTCTGAGCTGGCAGAAAAATGGACAAAGTCGCTAATATCTGAACTCGCTCTGTCACGTTCTTTATCCAAAAATGTTTATTATGAAGTCTAATGTGACCTATTGCAAGAGTGCATAATGTTTAGGTTATCATTTCAGATATGCAAATGATTCATTCATTGAGCATTGGAGAATCATATTTCACAAAACTTCTGATGGACATTAATTGCTTCTTCTAGAATTATATTCCAGTCCTCAGTAATGACAAACACTGTGTATTAATTTCCCATGTATTAGAAATAATGATTAAAGTAAAGCCCATTTGATGTAATGACCATCAGTTCAGAACTTTTGAAGGGTGCTCTGTGGCTTAAGATGAATAATAATGGCCCATTTTTCATCAGACAGATGTTCCATCTTATTGTAAAAATAAGTTACATCATGAAAATAGAAAATGTAAAAGAATTAAAATATACCATATCACTAAGCTTGATTAGCCAAATTGAACAATTAATGTCACAAAAGCGTTTGCATTTGCAACCTTCTGTGAACTGTTTGTATCACGTTTTCTATGGGACCAATTTTGAAGAATATACAAGACATTTTTTAAAATTAGAGTAGAAATCTATAATAACATGGCTCAGATTTATTTTCAACCATATTTTATAAAATAAGTGAATAAATAAATAAAATTAAAGACTGTTAATAGTGGTTCCCTTGGGCAGGTTACTGGGGGACTAGGGGATAGGAGTGGAAGGAAGACTTTTTTTTCAAACTTATTTTTCACTGCATCTTGTGTTTATAGTTTACATTGTGGACCATATGCAAGTATTGCTTACTTTAAGGTAACTTCTCTCTGAATCTCTGAACAGCAACAACTCATAAGCCTGTATTGGAATGGAGAAGCAGGTCAGAGTCTGTCAGCACAGGCTCTGGGCCAGGCACATCCCCAACCCATACACACACACACACACACACACACACACACACACACACACACCATCTCCCAGATCTGCCTCTTATTATTTATGGGACCTTGGATAAGTTGCTTACTTTCTTTAAACTAAGAGACCCAACCTTGTGGATTTGATTTGTTACTGCTGTTGAGTGGGTGGTTCCTTCTCACTATATAGGGTTTCCCAGGAGCCGCTGGTGGGTTTGAACCGTAAACCTTGCAGTTAGCAGTCCAATGCTTATCCACCAGTGTCACATGTGGGCTTGATAGGAAGATTTCAATGGGTTTAACATGATGCAGGAGGATACGTACTGAACTGCTTGCTAACCACAATGTCAGCAGTTCAAACCCACTGGTCACTCCTTGGAAACTCTATACAGGGTCACTATGACTAGAAACAAATTCTATGGCACTTAACAACAATGATTTCAATTGAGTCCTGGTGTGGTGCTGTAGGACAAGCACTAGATTGCTAACTGCAAGGCAGACAATTTCAACCCACCAGCCGCTCCTTGAAAATCCTATACAGGGTCGTTATGAGTCAGAACCGACTCGATGGTACGTCACAACAACAACAATGAATACATGGCATTTAATATGGTACCTGAACTGCAGTAAGTTGTCCTGACGGCACAGAGGTTAAAGCATTCAGCTGCTAACCAAAGATCTGTGGTTTGAATCCACCAGTCGCTCTGAAGGAGAAGGGTATTTTCATAAAGATTGTTGTATTGTTGAGCACTGTTGAGTAGGTTCCAAGTTGTATACGTTTCTGAGGAGCCTCTGGTGGGTTTGAACCACTGACCTTGCCGTTAGCAGTCCAGTGCTTAGTGTACAGATTAGTCTTGGAAACCCTATGGGCCAGTTCTACTCTGTCCAAATAAGGTCACTGTGAGTCAGAGTTGATTCAGTGGCAGTGGGTGGTGGTGGTAGTGGAAAGCAGTAAGTGTTCAATAAATGTTCATTATTATTATTTTATTGTTATAAGCACTGGACTGCTAACCACAAGGTCAGCAATTCGTACCTGCCAGCCACTCTTTGCAAACCCGGTACAGGGTCCGCTATGAGTCAGAACTAACTCGGTGGCACTTATCAACAACAAAATGATTATAACACACAAAAATCGTACTATGCAATAAAGTTGTTTTCTGCAGGTTAGGTCTTTTATGTTCACAGTACCAGTATTAGAATCATAGCTTCTTTGTGGTACAGTTTAAAAGTTGGTATTTATGAGTGTTTGTTTTTATTTCTTTGGAGTCTACCACATTCCACTGAGAAAGAAGTGCAATGGATTAATTTCTTTTTCTCTCTCCCTCCTTCCTTCCCTGCCAACATTCTTTCCTTTCTACCACAAACTTTTCCTGGGTATCTACTAAGCACCAGACACATAAAATCTTAGAACTCATTTATTCTAATCTTTGTTTTTATGCAGCAGTTTATTTCTGACGTTTACTACACAAGCAACCCAGCCACAGCTTTAACTCTTCCAATGACAGGGACGTCGCTGCTTCATGAATGGCACCATTTCTTTGTTGAACAATGCTCATTTGTTGAATTATTATTTTTTTAAAATACTGAATCAAAACTTCAGGTCCCTGTGACTTCCGTAGTTTGCCCACAATCCTCCTCCCAGCTCTTTTCCAATTGGTTGTGAAAAGTTCACTTCTAATTTGTTGCAATGCTTGAATTAGAACCCAGACCTCCCACGCCCTACGCCCGACTCCAGGTCCAGTGTTGTTTAGAAGTCCTGTTGATTAGAAATCTCTTCCAGTCAAGTTGGCTGTATTAGATTGAAGGAACGCCCTGACCTTGTCAAAAAGACTGAGCGTGCTGAGGACTTCATTTTGAATACAAAGAAACAATTCCAAGGAGTGATTTAGCAATTCGCTGGCAGGCCAGGCCTAGCACATCCTAGTCAAAGTTCCTACAGTCCAGTGGTCACTCTAGCGTTGCCTATTGTACCCCGGCTGGCTGAGAGTCTGGGTGAGATCAATTCTCTGTGTTTTATAGGTGTGCTGGCCAAAAGAGTGCTTTCCCTCAGTGAGTCTCAGCATGGCATCGAAGCATAAGACAAGGGTCTTTGACAGGCTATTCAGTTTTTTAGCCAGTCTCCAAATTTACCACAAAAGTCATTTGAATTTTTCAGTGTTTCCAATGTCCTTTGGGAACAAAATGCTTTACCCTAATTACTTTGTCACTTTGCCACTTGATTATCAATGCAGAGAACACATGGTCTTAAGACAAGTTGCTGAAATGTACAACTTCGGAAATAGGGGTCAATCTCAGAGCCTGGGAAACCTTTGTTTAGGTCAAATGTAGGAGAGTCCGATGAATCTTTCTGATCCCTAGACTTGCTGGGTAGAGGACCAGCTGGACAGACTAGGGTTGGGAAGGCAAAAGAGGGAGGTGGGAAATTTCCGTGCAGCTGCCATTGAGGCAGGTTCTGGGTTGGGCCAGGTGGGGGCAGCATAGAGCTAGTCTATGAGCTAGGTGAAGCTCTGGATAGGGTGTGTACAGTGAAGACTCCTGAGCTATATGGGATTGAATGCCAAATGGTAGAAGGTATACTAAGAGAGTGATAGGCTTAGGGGGGTGGAGGGGAGGTTGCCAGGCCAGGAGAAGACAGTCACTTAGGAGGAACCTCAATGAGGGGAATGGGTACAACTCTAGGGTCAGGGCCAGCTCAATTTAATGGAAGGAGTAGCAGCCTGCCTTTGGAGTCAAACCTACGCATGAGAACAGTCCGGTTAGTAGACATCTGTCAGCCTTGATTTTCCCTTGTATAGGAGGGGAATGAGAATAGGACCTACTTCATAAGGTTGTGATCAAACAACTCTGGCATATACAGAGCAACTAAAGACTAGTTTACCCATAACTGCCTGCTTTAAAAAAGACATGTTGTTGTTGTCAGGTGCCATCGAGTGGGAACCGACTCATAGCAACCCCATGCACAGCAGAACGAAACAATGTCCGATCCTGAGCCAACCTCACTACCGCCGCCACACTTGATGCCATCAATGATGTCACCTGGCTGACATAAAAAAGACATAGCCTTAATGAAATGAGGACTAGAAGAACCACCAACTAGTACCTTTTGAATAGGCATCACTCTGTGGTTGTGGTTGTTGTTGTTAGGTGCCCTCAAGTCAGTTCCTATTAATAGCAACACTGTGCACAACAGAACACAACACTGCCCGGTCCTGCTCCACCCTCATGATGGTTCTTAGCTTTGACCTCATCGCTGCTACCACTGCCGATCCATCTTGTTGGGGGTCT